GATTGGCGTTTGAATTTTCCAAATCGGACCATTAGTTCGGGAGATAACAGGGGGGGTAAAATTTACCCCCCCCCCAGCCCCGCGCGTTCGGCTGGAGACCCCAGCCCCGCGCGGGTTAAGTTCAAGTTAACCAAATTGCATCATATTGCATATCATTCGATTCGGCTGATCACCAGGAACACAATCATACCATTTTTAAGCTCTAGCGTCATTATGTGCCAAGTTATTGGCAAAAACGTCATTTGACCTCAGTTGACCTCATTTGACCTGACCCATGGATAAGTACACCAAACAAAGAAGCACGAAGTGACCTGCTGTTAAGTACTGTGGTTTCAAAGCACAAAAGTGATAGAACGAAGCGGATATCTCCAGTATTTTCCGAATTTAGTATTTTCCCTTAGGCTTAACATTACGACGTAATGACCTCTAACTGACCTCAGGTCACTGACCTAAAAAAAAAACGAAATATATGTTATACAACTCGGTGAACTTAGCACATCCTGAAAGTTTGAAGGAAATCAGTCCAAAACTGTGAGTTGGACAGGTGCAAAAAGAAAATTGAAATTTGACCATGACCTTGTACCGGTTTTTCTGACCTGGTGACCTGACCCAAGGTCACCCGGACCTGAAATTTTCAGGTCATATGTAAAAAAGGTTGCCCCATAAGCTGTGCCAAATTTGGCGGCGCGCATTTTACGCTATCTTCGAAAAACCTTAGGGGGGGTCGCATCGACCCCCCCCCCTGCCAGGGCGAGGGTTAAGGGGGGGGGGGGTCGCATCAACCCCCCTGCCAGGGCGAGGGTTAAGAGGTTCAATGTTATATCTTTGCATTGTTGATCTTCCGTGACGCCATATGGTATGTCACTACATGGTCATAGTCATAGGAGTTTTTCGCCAACAACTCCTGATCAAACTGAACAAGCGAGTCGGGAAAGCCACCAATGAGCCCAGATGATAAGCAATACCAGCTTCGTGACCGAGGTGGCCAGCACGTGACCTTTGATCTTAGGCAAACACTAAGCAAAAAGCTCTCTCGAGCCAAAAGTATATCATTCGGAGCATGCCGAACACAATGGCTCAGAATTGCGGACTTTGCGAACATTTTTTGCGAAATTATTCACCAAAAACCTTGGGACATTTGACATGATCTCAAAGGTCACCGGCTGACCTGAGACCTAAGAACTGGATCCCAGTCGCTGCGTGTCACACGGATGCACACACTCGTTTTCTACGAGAATCTAGTTCAATTAGGGTCGAATTGGCAAATGGGGCCAACAGCCCTCGGCTGAGGCGTAGGTACTCTTATACAGCTGGATCCATGCCAACTCAACCACTGGTGTGTACACAGCACCCTCTCAGATATTTACAAAAATAGCTGATTAGAGGTTCTTCATGACCATGATTCCGGATATCGGATCTAAATTGGTCTCAAGTCAACAGTGTAGCTGTTACAGTGACGTCAATTTATAACGTCATACGGTGTTCAGTTATATTCGCAGCATCTTTTCGCCGAAAGTTGATCAGGTAGGTATTTGAAATCAGTCAACGGCGTTTGGAAGACATTGATTTGATTGATTCATGGTCTGTGTCATCATTTTGCTTTCAATAAAAATAATTTATATAATCGATCAAAAAATACAGCTTGAAATATGATGACTTAGATTCTTTTTAAAAATTTGATATATGAAAATTGCACATCTTCTTACCTTGGAACTGTCGAAACAGCAATGGTTATCGAACCAGTATAACGCCTTTTGGGGCGACTAACGGAGCGAGCGAGAGGGTGGGCCTCGCACGTGCGGAATTTCGAGGGGGTACCTCCAACTGACTTATGCACGGCACCCTACTAACCGGTCTCTAGCGACGTGCCAAATTTGGGCACAATCGGCCCAGCCGTTCTCGAGATCTGGAAGCGGCACCCTGCACGTGCGCACGTGCAAAATGGGTCCCAACTGACTTGTGCACGGCACCCTACTAAACGGTCCCTAACTGTGTACCAAATTTGAGCGCAATCGGTCGAGCCGTTCTCGAGATCTGGAAACGACCCCTGCACGTGCGCACGCGCAGCAGCACCCCAACTCTGGCACATGGATATGCAGTGCCTAGTGGGTGCCTACCTACATGCCAACTTTCAGCGCAATCGGCCAAGTAGTTACCGAGATATTGCAACAATTACAAAACGGACACCTCTTCGTTTTGCACGTGGCACGTGCATAAGGGGTCACCCACATGCATCAGGAATAGTCCAATACTTGGTAGAAGGAATGAAGCTACCCTACAAAAATTACCGCGTGTAAATCGGTCAAGTGGTTGCTGAGATATAAGCCTCGCAAAAGCGTGACCACGGCCGGCCGGCCGGCCGGCCGGCCGGCCGCTCATACTCAGAAATTTCCGTTAATCTAAGGAAAGACTACGCTCGCTTCGCTCGCTCCGTAATAACAACATATCCTAGCGCACCCCATTCTCCCCAGACCTCTGACCGGGACGCAGCGTGGGTGCCACAGTCCCTTTGTCCGGGTCGACGCCGAGTCACGTTTCCGGACAATCCGTGATTATAAACGTACCAGCATGTGAATTAATGCTTGCCTAATGTATTATGGTGGATGCGAAGGTCATTTGAAGGTCAGATCACGTCATTGACCTTAAATGACTTTGGTTCACTTTTTCGAGTTTTATAAGTTTGGAATAACTTTTGGAGCTGAATTCGATTGAAGAACTCATTTGAACGTTTGAAAAATAGTTGTTTCTGCCTATTTCTGTTATTTGATTGGTATATGTATATATTTCATAAAATCGATAAAAAATACAAATTGAAATAAAACGACTTACGACAGCCTGTTCTAAGGTCAATGGCGACTTTCAAACGCCGTTGACCGATTTCAAATACCTGATGAACTTTTAGAGAAACAACACTCCAAAGATTGCCAAATAGCATGTGACGTCATAAGTTGACGTCACTATGGAAGCCAAACCATTGTAATAAGAGTAATTTCGACCTGTTATTCGGAATCTGAGCTATCAGGAACCCCTTCACTCAGTCAGAATCTCATAAAAATGTGATAGGGTGCTGTGTAGCATTTCACTTTCAGAGGTTCAGTTGACATGAAATAACCCATCTATATGGTCTATGGATGTAGAACACCAGCGAGGGATACAGTGAGGTCTCAGATGAACAGGAGACCTCAAAGGCTGGGTTGCTAAATCAAACGTTTTTTTATAACTTCGTCAAAATATTCGCAGTCATTTCAGGATATTGTTATTTTTATTTCATGGATATTGTTAGGTACTTCAATCGCGTCAACTGTCAAGCGATTGAATCGCGTCGAAGGTCATTCCTTAGCTCAAAAGGACTCATTCCTTAGCTCATTTGAGCTAAGTAATGACCTTCGACGGACGACGACGACTTCGGATGACCTTGACACATATGTAGGTCTTATATGGTGCAATCCATGGGAGCTGTTCACGATTATGGCATTAAATCTGCTCTAAACATTCCTTCAAAACCCGATGATACCAAAAAAGACTGACCTATAATGACTGACATGAATCAGCGCAATAGGCTCTAAACTTCTACAATAGCTAGCAACGGGGATGCCCTTGCTATTAGACCTGTCAAAATGCTTTGATGTGGTGCCGCACCGCAGGCTGTTGGACAAACTCGCGCTGTACGGGGTGGAAACGGAGTGGTTTGCGGACTACCTCAGCGGCCACACGCAGCAAGTGCAGATGCCCAGCGGCGACGGTGGATACGTACGATCCGGTGTGAAGCCGAACACGATCGGCGTGTACCAGGGCGGATCACTTAGCTGCACATTGTATACGGTGTTTGCAAATGAAATGTATCTGTATCTACCTGCCAATGTCACGATGGTCCAGTTCGCTGACGACACCCAGCTCCTTGTAAGCGGCAAAAAGCGCGACTTGCCACAGGTGATAGAACGAATGGAACAAGCTCTTGAGTGTTTGTACCAATGGTTCTGTACCAACTCAATGAAGCTTAATGCAGCTAAGACGCAAGTTGTCGTGCTTGGAACTCCTGCTATGCTCCGAGGACTGCCGTCTGTCACACTAAATGCGATGGGTACTGTGATTCCAGATTCTAGAGTCGTCAAAAACTTAGGAGTGATTATGGACAACCATTTGAAGTTCAATGATCATGTCGATCATATCACTGCTAAATGTACCGGCGTCCTTATCGGTCTGATGCATGCCAAACATGTTATACCAAAGGCATCTCTGTCAGTGATAGTAGAAGCGCTTGTGAAATCACTCATCAGGTACTGCATATCAGTGTACGGCACGTGTGGAGTCACTCAGCTTCATCGCGTGCAGAGACTTTTAAACTTTGGTGCTCGTGTCATTAGCGGTCGTCGTAAACACCACCATATTAGCGATGTACTCCGCGACCTGCAGTGGCTGAATGCACCTAGCCTTGTTAAGTACCACCGGATCTGTGTGGTGCACACGCTCGCTACGACGGGCAAGCCCGAAGTTCTCGCAGAAACTATCGGTCGCACCGTGCACCACTCGTACCAGACACGTGCTGCGGGCAACCACATGTTGCCGAGAATTCGCACTGAAGCTGGTCGACAGCGGCTCTGCTACGACACTGTGCGCGAGTATGACCGCTTACCGTTCGATGTCACCGCTCGCAATTTTCGACACCAGCTCAAAAAGCACATTTTTATGGAGCAGTCTGCGATGTCTAGTTAGTTTCAGTTGAGCACTGTGTCTTGAACCTTGTGTATTTACATATTTGACGTATTGCAATGAAAAGCCATGTTCCATGGATTTGCTGTGAATAAAGTATCTGTATCTGTATCTTGCTGCCTTGCATGACAATTGACATTGGACTCGAGGTAGGTTTGCATTTCTACATGACCCAAAATATAAGGTCATGTAAACTTTCAAATATTCTAAAACATCTAAAATATATTTATATAAAATATACAAGAGCAAAGTTTGAGTTTGCAGCTCTGACAATCAGCCGTCTCGCCCACCTGTACCTCCGCCGAGCCGAGTCGGCGCCACGGACGAGGGCTTCACTCTGGCCATGGCGGCGGTGGGCGCGTGGCCTCAGCTGGAGGGCGGGGTCACACCGTCCCACACCGACACCTGCGCGGCCGCGCGGCGCTGCAGCGGCGGCCTCTCCCGCGACCCGTCCGACGCCGACTGGTGGCGTGCAGAGCTGCCGCGCCGCTCCTCTCCCGGCACCGGGCGGTCCGGCGGCGGCCGGGCGGCTGATCGGGGCGCCGCGCCGGCAGGGTCACGCGGCCGCCGCGCCGTCGTGACGTGCCCTCCGGCTAATGAAGGACCCGGCACAGGGGTCATTATTGGACAGAGCGGCAGACAAACAGCGCCCGGCGGGATCACACATCGGCTCAGTGCGGCCTCAGAGAGCTCAGTAATCCGCCGGCACTGATGAAATTACAAGGAGCTCGCCCAGAGACATGCGCTGCCGTGTAGGTGTGCGTGACGGCTGATGTAGAGCTAATCTAGAGTCATCTCTCTTCAGGATTGGGAGAGACAAATTTTTATAACACGCAGAATGATGGGCCACTGAGTAGGTACTGGGCAGGTCTAATACTAATATGTATAATCTTAGGTACCTAATTATGGATCATTATGTTGACCTCATTTTGGCCAAGGGTAAGGGGGGCAAAGCACCTATCCTATAAATTTCCAGACTCGTATCTCACGATCTCTTCAGGATGCAAAGTTGAAGAACGAACAGATACCTAGCCTGGTAGCCCAATGGCCAATACCGAGACTTTCGCCGAATAATGGAGGCAATTTATGTGGCACGCAAATTGCATGGTGTTTTAACGCGCGCCGTGCCATGGTGGCCTGACCTTAACGCCGAGTGCTGGGGGGGGGGGGGGGGCGCTTTCACGCGTCCCCCCGTCTAACTCGGTTCGTGGGTCACGTAGCGACACGCGGTAAGCGGCAATCGAAAGAGCGTCAAAAATAAGGAAGAAAACACTGGGTCATTTTTAAGATCAGGTGAAAGGTCAGGTCACCAGAGGTCATCAAAGGTCAACTTAACCCTATTAGTGGCAGGCTCCTGGCTACCCCCTATTAGTGGCAGGGGGGGGGGGCTGTTTACGACCCCCCCTTGATATCTCGAGATCTAACGGGCCGATTTTCAAAATTCAAACGGCATTCGATTTCGCTCAACGTGATCTACATTTCTAAAAAATAAAAATTAAAAAATGTCAATAGGGGGGGTAGAGGGGGGTAAAAACGGGCAAATTGCAGATACATTTTAGACTGTTTATCACGGCCAGGTTTCTGAACCAATCTTAACGCAACTTTTGCCGATCGATAGAGAATGAACCAGGAATTCACATGGATCCTAAAAATATGCATTTTCAAAAATCATAGGCGGATACAGATCATTGAGATTGGGGGTACACAAAAAGTATAGTAAATAAGGTTTTTGTTGGTACTGTTTCTAAAAAGGGTGGTAATGGTCTTGTTATGTTATAATTTTCTTATGAGAGAACGACTAAAATTGTATTGGTAATGCATAGGCGGTGTCAGGGCACCTATGTTGGGAGGTAAAACATAACCCCCCTTTTTGGACGCCTGGATCCGCCTATTATAGCAAAAACGTGTCAAAAGAGGATGCACAATAACTGTATATGTTATCACATGATACCTTTTATTCACTGTTCGTAAAACTGGTGCAGCATCGTGATCTTCGCCCAAATGACTCGCTTCACGAATAGGACCCCCCAATTCCCAGTGCTCTGGAGCCGCCCCTGGTAAAGTTATGAACTTGAAATTTTCAGGGAATGTGCCCAATTTAGTTTTAGGAAAAGTCAGAAAATTTCAGCATCGTAGCTTCAGCGGTTTCAGAGATATTCCCGAAAAACCTGAGGGGTGGATAAAAACAACCCCCCCCCCTGCCACTAATAGGGTTAAGTCCATTTCAATAATTTTGGAAAGTACCAACGGATAACTCGGGAACAAATTGAGCTACAGCGCCGCGGAAAAGCGCATTCGATAGCCCTTTTACAGACCTTACTGAGCAATGTTCTCAAATTTGACCTCAGGTCAGCGGTTTAGCCTCCAGAGGGCAACAACTCTAAAAAAGCCGTTTTCGCCAAAAACATTTTTTCGGCAATTAAATTTGACTTAACCCGCGCCCCGTAGGGCTACCGGCGGACCCTATACCACCCGTAGGGGGGGGGGCGTTTCGGCCCCCCCTAAGATCTCAGAAAGTTACCGGCCGATTTTCAAAATTCAAACGGCGTTCGATAGCCCCACCCGAGAACTACCTTGTGACAAAATTTCATTGACCTAGATCAAACCGATGACGTCACAGGTCAGGTCAAAGGTCAGATTTTCAACGTTCACAGGCATTTCAAGAAATGTGGGGTGGGACTAAATGCTTACTTCGAAATCTAAGCTACGTTGCGGCATTGGCGGTTATGTGCGGCGTGTATGCCGCATGATTAGTAAGCGGCGACCACTAAATTAAAGACTCAAACGCTCCGACCGGTTCTCAATGAATAACACTGCATACCAAAAATGCCAACCGCTCTCGTCATAAGATATTCAGCTTTAAATAACTAGGTTATCTACATCATCATTTTGAACCAAATTAATACTTTCAACTTATTACTTAACTCACTCATTCCTTCCTTTGTTGTCTCCAAACAGTCTTTCGATTGTCTGAAAATCGTATGCTAAATCCCGTACCTGTATGCGACTGGTGCATATAAAGGCCGATAAAAGAATTTGAATAGGCTCTGGCATGCGATTTCCTGGCTACCCAAAAAAGTCTGTTTCAGTCTTGCTATCAAAACATGACCTCGCCCGCACAGGGGGGGGGGGGGGTTGATGCAACCCCCCTAAGGTTTTTCGCGAATAACTCGCTTAAAAAGCGGCTGATCGCGACGAAACTTTCAGTACCCTCGCATTGATCAATTTAACACCCATCCTGAAAATTTCATGACCCTGACCCAAATGACCTTTGACCTGTGACCTACTTTTCGAGACCATGTTTGGCCGGAACCGTGATTCAGCGTATGTCGGCTCGCATTAGCAGCGCGTTTGCAGTCTTTTCGTGGTTTCAAGCGTTCAAACATGTGATATGATGTTGCCCCCATGCATTAGGGTGGGTGTTAAGGTCACCTGAAGGTCAGGTCAGGTCATTGACCTTTGGTGACCTCGGTTCACTTTTTCGAGTTTGACATGTTTCTAGGTCAGTTTTTTCGAACTGAATTCGAATTAAGCAACCACATGAACGTTTACAAAGTAGTTTTGGTGCCTTCGTAACATGTTACGAGGCTGTCAGAGGCGGTTGACACCTACTACAAATACCTGGCAGGACCTCTACTGGTTGACCTGACCTGACCTAACCCGACCTGGCCTAAATGAATGAAGACATCATCTGTGATCAAAACTAGCATGATATTCGTGATCAGCACCCCGAAAAACCCCATGGCAGCCACACTACGACGTTCTAACAGGTCCCAATTTTCCCGCCTTTTGGGTCATTGACCTGACCTGGAAGGTCAACCGATGACCTAGGACCTTAAAATTGGGTATCATCGGCTTTCTCTCGTCACGGGCAACACGCTCGTTTTTTCCGCGAAGCTCTAGCTTGATCAGGAGCGAAACGGCAAGGGGTTATACCTTATACGTTCGCGGCTGAGTATTAATTTGGTTCAAAACAATGATGTAGATAAGTTAGTTATTTAAATCTAAATATCCTATGACGAGAGCGATGGACATTTTTGGTGTGCAGTGTTATCCATTGAAAACAGGTCAAAGCTATTGAGTTTTTAATTTAGTGGTCGCCGCTTACTAATCATGCGGCATACACGCCGCACATAACCGCCAATGCCGCAACGCAGCTTAGATTTCGAAGTAAGCATTTAGTCTCACCCGAAATGTGTACTTGTGAAATCGAGTAAATTGGTAATTTATTGAAAACCATCGATGGTACATTGTTCGTCAAACGCATACTTTGCTATCTGAGGTCACTGATACCAGGTCAGGTCAGAGCGAGGTCAGGTCACCGGGGTCACAATATGAAAGTGTCGTGTGATACATGTTTTATGGTTCATTTTACATGACAAATGCGATTATGTGTGTTAGGTAGCCTTTGGGGCCAGCCTAGGTCACGTTTTGGTGAAGGTCAGGTCAAGGTCAGGTCAAATTAGGTCAAATTTCAAAGTTGATATTTTTGCATAAAATGGGTATTGATTCGATGCAGCTCGTCACGGGGAGTCTAATGGTGGTCTTTGTTTTGCTCTACGAGGTCTAGAAGTGCCAAAAATTGAGTTTGAAAATTTGACGTTATCATTTTTGAACAGTTTTTTCGCTATAACTTGGCCAAAAAACGAGGTATCGATCTGAAATTTGGTATGTAGATAGAAGACGGTAGGCACTATCACATATATTCCGGTTTTTACGAAACTCCAAAAACTTTTTGGATTTTTTGGCTAATATATCCAAAAAAATGTTTTTTTATTTTATTTTTGGGGGTCAAAACTAAAAAATTTCAAAAATCTGAGATAGCAGTTTTGTAGCCCTGTCAATTCTACACCTTTTATGTCTGATCATTTTTCTGTATCTTCAAAGCTGTAGGCCTGACAGGTCTTCTCGCGAAGGTCTTTTTTCGGTCGAAAATGACAGAACATGACGTCATTCTGACGTCATTTGTGGCCAACCTATCATAGCCTCTGGAAAAACAGTTTGGTCACAATGTGTAAAATTGATGCTCGGAGGGTTCCTGAAAGTTTGGTGGCGATATCTCCAGCCGTTTAGGAGATATCGACCGAAAAGGACAGGGCCCCCCCTACGGGGGGCCAAAACGGCCAAACACCCCCGGGCCGGGGGGTGTTTGAACCCCCCCCCCTCCCCCTGCGGTTTTTCGCAGATATCTAAAAAAACGGCGGCGCTGGCACACCTGCTTGTGCATCTTTTTCGCACATGTTGTGAAAATTTCAGACCCAGGTCGCCTTAGGACAGGTCACCAGGTCACGCCAAGTGACTTCACCTCAGAAAAAATAAGAATGCTCGTCATAGCTACACCGATTGATCGATTGCCTTGAAACTTTCAGCGATTGATTAGAGCAACAGTATCTATAAAATGCATACCTCGGAATTCTGATATCGGTGACCTAAAGTCAGGTCAATTTTG